AGCGACCTCCTGGCGCAGCACCTGCTGGCGCGGCTCCGAGCCCGGCGGCGCAGGAGCCGCCGGAGGAGCAGCCTCCAGCTGCGGCAGAGACGGAGGAGCCGCAGGTGCAGCCGACCTCGGATGACCGCGAGGGGGACGCTGAGGCGGCACAACCCGCTGAGGTGCCTGCCGCCCCACCGGCCGACGAGACGACCGCTGACCCGAAGGTGCACCGCCGGCTGGTGGGCAAGAGGGCGGTCCTCCCGGCCGAGGTGCGGCCTCCCAAGGCGCCCAGGGTCGAACCTGAGGAACCGCTGCCACCTCCTCAGGCGAAGATGCCCAGGCTGTCGGAGGACGTCTGCAGCGTGCTGCTGGCGAGCGTGGTGTCCGACACAGTGGAGGACGAGAAGGAGCTGCGCGTGCTGTACGTCAACTCGGAGGACGATGAGGAGCTGGAGGACGCGATGTTGGCCGGCGGGAGGCGGGAGCTCAACAGGAAGGACCCAAAGTGGACCAGCCGGGAGGGGCTCGCGAAGATCGACGCCGGCATCGGCAAGGAGGTGGACAACCTGTTCAACAAGAAGCAGGCGCTGGCGCCTGCGTCTCGGGTCGAGTCGGATGAGATCCGACGGAACAGTCCAGAGCGCATCGTCGGCAGCCGGATGATTCTGACGAGTAAGATCGACGACTCTGAGACGGAGGTGGTCAAGGCGCGCCTGTGCAGTCAGGGCTACATGGATCCCGACCTGATGCAGCTCGTGCGCGAGAACAAGACCTCCTCCCCGACCCTATCACAGAACGGGAAGGTCGTGGCCTACCAGCTGTTGGCTTCGCACGGCTTCCAGGTTCAGATCGGGGACGTTGAGGGGGCCTTCCTCGAGGCGGACCCCATCAAGCGCAAGAATGGGGACCTGTACCTCAAGCAGCCGCGCGGAGGCCTTCCCGGCTTGCACCCCGACCAGCTGCTGAAGGTCATCAGGCCGATCTACGGTTTCAACGACGCCCCGGCTCAGTGGTGGGGCAAATTCAGGGACACCGTCCTGGACTGGAGGCCGAGCGACGGGTGCGAGGGCTGGCGCCAGTCCAAGCTCGACCCGTGCATGTTCTTCCTGTTCGAGGGTCGGCATTTGCAGGGACTGATATCGACGCATGTCGATGACATACTGACTGGAGGAAAAGGGAAAAAGTACAACGCTTTCATCAGATTTCTGCGCATGAGGTTCCCGTTTCCCAAGTGGAAGGTCAACGAGGGGAAGTTCTGTGGGTCTTATCTTGTCCAGAATCCCGTGACCATGGAGATAACCGTGTCTCAGAAGGAGTTCGCTGAGTCGATGAAGCCCGCTGGTGTGAGACCCCGAGCACCCCCGGAGACCCCGGCCACCGAGAAGGAAATCGCGAACTTCCGCGCGATGCTCGGTAGTGGCAACTGGTTAGCTCGAGAGTCCAGGCCAGATCTAGCAGTCCAGGTCTCGATGAGCCAGCAGTGCATGCCCAGGCCGACGGTGGGGGAGGTGAGACACGGGAACACGATCGTGAGGAGGGCGAAACAGTTCTCGAACCTGTCCTGGAAGATTAAACCGATTCCGATCGAACGTCTCCGGGTCATCATGCACGCCGACGCCTCGAACCAGAACGCCTCGAAATCCGGGACCCAGGCAGGTTACGTCATCGCTGCGACCGACGAGAACATTATCCGAAACGAGTTGAGCCCCTGGAGCCCGCTGGTCTGGAAAAGCTATCGTCTTCGTCGAGTTACTTCGTCGACTCTCGCCGCGGAGACTCAGGCCCAAATGGACGGCCTAGGTCACCTCGAGTGGATCTCCTGCCTGCTCCTCGAGGGCAGCGATGGAAGACTCTGTTTGCGTCGTCGATCTGAGTATCTTCCGAAGTTGGCTCCCATTGCGGTCACGGACTGCAAGTCATTGTACGATCACATCGTCGGCTGTGGGAGTGCGGGGTCATGTTCGGACAAGCGGGTGGCGGTCGATCTAGTCATCACTAAGGAGAGCGTGAAACGTCTAGGTGTGAGCTATCGGTGGGTACCATCAGCCCTTCAGCTAGCAGATATATTGACTAAAGACAAAGCCGAGCCAGCAGATATGTTGAGAGCTACAATGACAAGCGGTAAATATCAGTTAGCCGACGAGCCAGCCGTTATGGCAGCAGCAGCCCAAGAGCGTGTCCGTCGTCAGCTTCTTTCGACTGGTAACAGGAAGGATCGTCCCAGCCGCCAGCCGACGCCACCGGCGCCCGGCCATGGTCAAGTTCGAGAGCTGCCTGACGGAGGACGGAGTCAGGAGCCTGTTCGAGAGCATACAGGCGGAGCCAGTCCGTCACTCGGGGACGACGTGCAAGGTCGTGACCAACATGCAGATCCTGGGAGATCCAGACAGCCGCCAACACCGCAATCGTGTGACGCTGACGTGGAGCAAGGGGACAGGCAACATCGCCATCAGGACGGCGGCCATCATCGAGGATTCGGCGCTGATGTACATGCAACACCTGGACAGCGCCTACCTCGCAGTGCTGGACGGCAAGGACCCGGAGGTGCTCGAGGGCATGGAGTCGGTCATGGAAAGCCTACGGGTACCGGCGCAGCATTCATACGAGGGCGTGCCAGGACAGTCAGATTCGGACGCGTGGAGCGTCATCTCTACGAAGCTCCCCGAGGACAGGGAGTTCGTGCAGGCAATCGAGAACCCGTGCGAGTGGGGGAACCAGGAGCTGGCGGACTACGAAGACCAGCGCCTGAAGTTCATCAAGATGATGATACGTGAGTTTAAGGCGTCCCGTGACTTTCTCCTCACGACGGTGGACGAGGGTATGGAGGACGGGGAGGCCGAGCAGCCGACGCCGACCGCCGCCACTCCCTCCTCGTCTCCTCCGAGGTCGAGGACCCGGGTGCCGTGAGCGTGAGAGTCATGCGTTTAGGGTGTGCAGCCTTAATGACGCACATTTTTTTTTGTTTTTAGTCAGTGCTGATCTCAGGGCCCCGGGGAGGCCCCTGGCGTGTATGTTACTGTCGTGCACGTGCGTGTTGATGCTGCAGCATTTTGGCTTGCCACAGGTGTGGAAAAGAGGGAGCGGGCGCTCCCTCCTCGGAGCCCAATCTGCAGGTACGCCGAAATTGGTGGCGCGGACGCATGTGGACACCGCCATTGGGGCCTTCGGTGGAGCTCCCTATGGGGACACGAAACTTGCGATGGGTGTGCCGAAATAGGTGGCGCAGACGCGTGTGGACAGTCCCTCAGTTCGCACAACGACAGAAAATGAGGAGGATGAAAAGGAGAAGGAGGAGGAGTGTGAATGAGTGTTTGTGTGACTGGGTGGGTGAGTGAGTGAGTGGGTGGGTGGGTGGGTGAGTGAGTGAGGCGATGATTAAGCAATGTAATTTCACAAGCCAGTGTTTTTGCCGCTTTCGTTTACGATCCTGACGGTACGGGCCCAGATGCAAAAAAAGAGAAGGTCGGAGAGGGATGGGGGACTCGAAACAGAACGAACGGCATGAGCATAAACTGTCGGTGCTGTGCGCGGATTTCTTGGATCTGCGCTCGGCCCCCCTGGCGGCGCTTCCAGCGCCGCCCCTGGCACCACCCCTGGCGCTACCCCTGGCGCCGCCCTTGCCGCCACCACTGGCGCCGCCCCTAGCGCGCTCCGCGCGCAATGAAGGGAGGTTCAGTGCCGATCAAAGAAATCCACGCGGACGTGCGAAAATTGTTGTTCAGTATTTCGCGTGGTACATTCTGGTATGAAATTGGAGGGGGACGAAGGGCGGGGGGAAAGTTTTGGAAGAGGAGGAGGAGGAGGAGGAGGAGAAGGAGGGATGGCGAGGGGTGAGGTAGGGGGGAATGCAGCGTTCGACGAAATGTATGCCATGAGCTGCCATACCTCTGCAGCCACCCTGAAACAGGCGTCCACGCACGAGGGTTTGTTTGCTACCAGTATTTGTCCGCGAATGAATTGGGAAGACGGGCAAAAGAGGAATGAGGAGAGGGATGGAGGAGGATGAGCGTGGAGGAAAGCGGAGGCAGGAGGTATGAGCAGGGAGCGCTCTTCTTCTTGGTCCCGAACTGTGTTATTATCCTCCCCGTCGCGCTCTCCTGGCTCCTACTCCCTTTTCTCTGATCCCTCCTTTTATTATCGATTACTGTCCCTCGCCTCCGTCCCATGGTCGGGCCGTCCTCGCTCGCGCGCGCGCGCGCTCAGCTCGGTGAGCTGCCAGCACTCTATCGTGTCGACGTTTTCTCTGCTCCTCGTTTCCCGCTCCTTGCGCATCCTCGCTCCTCCACCTCGTGCTCACCATCATCATCATCATCATCATCATCATCATCACCACCACCACCACCACCATCACCATCACCATCACCAGCATTATCATCAGTATTGACATCATCAACGTCGTCAGCATCATCCCCATCGCGTCGTCATCGTCATCACCATCAGCATCATCACCATCACCCGATCCATGTGCCGAGTCATCGCTAGCGTCATCTTTAGCACCCGCAGACATCTCGTAGCCGTATCCATCACCAGCTTCGTCGCCATCGCCATCATAAACGTCATCGTCGCCATCGTCATCATCATCGCCGCGGCACCACGGCGCGGCGGCTCGCCGAGCGCCTCTGCACCATCCACATGCTGCGGGCTGCGGACGCCACAGTCGTCGCCCTCTGGCTGCTCGCCCACCGCCAATGCCACTCGGCAGCTTGACCTCGGCCACCAGGAGGTGCCTGGACCATAATGATCATCAGTACCATCATCATCACCATCATCAACCACCGGCATCATCATCATCATCATCGTCGTCGTCGTCGTCGTCGTCATCACCATCATCATCAACATCGCCATCGTCATAGTCATCGTCACCATCATCACCATCATCAGCAGCAGCAGCATCAGCATCATCAGCATCATCAGCATCGTCAGCATCATGCCGCCTTTGTCTTCTTCCTGGTAGTCGCCCCTCCGTCTTTCCCCACACCTCTCGGCCCTGCTCGCCACGTGACAGCGAGCCCCCGCAGGTCCAGGAGCGGGTTTGTGCCTTGGAGGCCGGGCAGCTGGCGCCGACCGAGGTTCTCGAAGGAGAGCTCGATTGTCTTTCTATGTATAGATGTAGGAGCGAAAGAAGGACGTGCACGTGCATGAGTCCACGTTCATTTCGGGAGTACACATTGCGAGAACGTTCGTACCACAAGGTTGGTCCCCCAGACTGGGGGGCCGTGTTCATGTACGTGGTTGGGCGCGTGCGTCTTGTGTGGGTTCCCACTCTCTCTCTCTCTTGTTCTTTTTGGTGTGTGTGGTGTCTCTCTCTCTCTCTCTTGCTCTCTCTCTCTCTCTCTCTGTTTCTCCCACTCTCTCTCTCTCTCTCTCTCTTCTGTGTTGTTGCTCGTTTTCTTTCTCTCTCTCTCTCTCTCTCTCTCCCTCGCTCAATCTTGAGGACAGCACAACACACCCCCACCTCTATCCAGGACCCCGACTCCCGCCCTGGTGATCCACGGGGTCCTGGTTGAGGGTGAGGGTGGTATTTTGACCCAGGGAAACCAAAACACCATCCTTACCTCCAGCCAGGACCCCCGGGATCACCAGGTCGGGAGTGGGTGTCCTGGTGTCCTGGCTGGGAGTAGGGATGGGTTGTGTTGTCCTCATCTCCCTCTCTCGCTCTCTCTCTCTTTCTCTCTCTCTCTCTCTCTATATATATGTATATATTTATCTCGTTCTTTCTTACTCTCTTGGACCCGGCGAATGACAACTTGAATAAACACCTTATATTGTCGTCGCTCTGCACGGGGTCCAGCACTAATCCAAGACATCCGCGCAGAACTCCGAAAGCTTCTGCGTATGTCGTGTTTTCTTGTAGTCTTCTTTTTGGTTGGAGGGATCTCGGCGTTTGGGGATCATGTTGTGGCCTCCTAGAGCGCCCTAGTCGCCACGGCCAGGTTGCGCGCGAAATTATTCTAAAAGCATACCCCAGGAGGGGTTAAGGATGGCAATTTGCGAGAGACGTCTTGGGTGTCGATGAGGGGGAGGCGGAGGAGGAGGAAGAGTAGAAGGAGGACGGCGAGGTGGAGGACGAGGAGGAGGAGAGCAGGAGCAGAAGCAGGAGCAGGAGGAGGAGGACGAGGAGGGAGAGATGGAGGGGAAGGGAAGGGGTCCTCTTCGTCCTTTCTGCTCCTCCTCATGCTCTTCCTGTCTTCCTCTTACTTTACAACATGAGGGACTTCGTCTGTCCTACAAACGTCGGTGTATTCATGTGTCCGACGTGGATTCGACGTGGATTTCTCAGGGCCGACTAGATTCGGCACGGATCCGACGCGAGCAACGACGAGATTGGACAGATACGGTCCCCCGAAGGTGCAATACGACTCCTTTCACCTGTTTCGACTCCTCCGCCCTCCCTCTCTTCCGTTCCCCCTCCGCCCCCTTCGTCCGCAACCACCTCGTCGTCATCCCTCCCTTCTTCCGTTTGCCCTCCGCAGCCTTTCATCCGCATCCATTTGGTCGTCCCCACCCTCCTCATCCTCCTGCTTGAGTGTCCAAATGACGTATCATCTCACTCTCCGCTGGAGCCTCATTAGGGTTCGCCCGCCTGACCCGCCCATCAGGGTCGTCGTCGCAGTCGTCGCCCTCATCAGCGTCTTCGTTGTCGCCCTCGTCGCCGTCCTCGTCGCCGCCGAATGTCTAAGAGGCGTATCGTCCCCCCCTCCGCTGGAGCCAGACATGCGATGTCCAGATGTTTGTTCATGCGCGGTCCCCGGAAACCCCGACTCTTTCCCTTTCCCCAGGGCCAGTCTTTCATCCCGAGTCGTTTTCTGGGCGATCCTGGGGCCTGGCGAGGGCGCCCCAGAGGCCGCAGATTGAGAGAGAGAACTCCCGCCCTTCTAGTTTTGGTCGACGCGAGCACGTCTGGGGAGCCCGACTCCGCTCCGGCGTGGCCCTCCGCCCGACGGCGACCGCGACGCGTGGAGGGCGTCACGGCCGCGGCGCCCCGCGGCCCCCCGGAGGAGCCTCGCGGCGGTCCACGGCCCGCACGGCGTCACCGGGCGGGGGGCCCGTGGAGGACGCCGAGCTGCGCCGGAGGCCATGCCGCCTCGGGCAGTGGCGGAGCGTCCCGACTTTGCCTACGTCAGAGGGGGAAGAGGTACCCATACTCAGAGCCCCGAATTATCAGGGGTAACTCAGGTCAGGGCTAACTCGGGTTCGTTTTTCGGGAATCCGAACCCGAGTTACCCCGGGCCCGAGTTACCCCGGATAATTCGGGCGCCCAACATACCCGGCGGCGAGCGAGGCGGGGAGCCTGCTCAGAAGGCGGCGGGACTTCCCAGAAGCCCTCGCGCCTTCTGAGAAGTTGCCTTAGTCTTTGGGGAAGGCTTGGGAAACTTCTCGGAAGGCCGTGGGACTCCCGTGCCTTCTGAGAAGGACCGCGCCTTCTCACTTTCGCCCCTCGCTCGCCGCCGACATACCGCTGCCCTTCTCTCATTTTCGCCTTCTTGGGGCCTCCAGGGAGGCCCTCGTCGCCACGGCTGGACTCGCCTCGAACTTCTGGCCAGAACGCACCCCCGGAGAGGTCCGGGAACAGTGGTATCGGTGCCTCTTTTGGTTTTCCCGCCTACGGTCGGGAATTTTCGGATAGCGCGCTGCTCCGCCAGCTCTGGCCCGCCACGCTTCGGCGAGGCACGCTGTGCTTTTCCCGGTCCCCGGGCGTCGGCGTCCCGAGCCCTTCCAAGCCTCCCGCCCTGCGGAGCGGAGTGACACGCTTTCACCTCGCAGGGCACAGCGTGTCGTTGGGGACGCGGCCGCGGACGCGGCCGTATACTGTCAGGAAGTTTTGCTCAGCATAGTACCATGCAGTGGGGCTGCCAGTGGCACTTAATGGCTGGCGCCACCACGGCCAGGTGTTTTTTTTTACAGGGGTAGTGTTTGAGACTGTGGTATGCCTATAGGCCCACCGCAGAATGTTAGAAGCACCTGCTGTGTGTTGCACGGCAGATTTTAGAACGTCCGAGACCGTCTTGCTTTGATACATCGGCTTTCTGCTCTGCAAGCAGTGCCGTTGTCATTAGAGCGTTGATTCCTTCGACGAACATGTCGTGGTAGGCCAACTCGGAAAGCCGGGACGGTCGGTCCTTGCTCAACCGCCGCCTCCTGCTCCCCAGATCCTCTCGCGTCGTGCAAAACACTTGTTACGTTTTTGTTACGTTGTTGTTATAGTTTCGGCCTCTGGAGGCCTTCGCCGAGCCCCAGGACAGTCAAAAAGCGATTCAGGATGAAAAGCGGGTCCTGAGGAATGGGTCGAGACCTCTGGGTGTCGAACAGGCGTCGGAGGTCTGGGAACAGCGGCATCAACATAAATGTTCGGAGGTCCGCGGGGATTTCTTGGATCAGCGCTGGCCCCCCTCTCCCTGGCGCTTGGAGCGCGCCAGGGGCGGCGCTTGAGGCGCCGCCAGGAGGGCCCAGCGCCGATCCAAGAAATCCGTGCGGACCTCCAAAAGTTTCTGTTTGTGCAGTTGTTTTCCTCCTATCATCGACCAGTCCCTTGTGGAGAATGCGGTGTCGGGTTGGGCGTGCTCTCTTGTTCCGTCCTTTCTTCTGTCTCCCCCCCTCCTCCACTCACAGGGGGATGTCTGCAACTCGCTGGCCTTTATGGTTGAGCTTGTTTTTGTGACGCCCCGCCAAGGGGGGCTTCTGGGGGACCCGGGAGATGTTTCGGGCGCCTTGGAGGCAGTTTTTCGGGGATGGCACGTTCACTTGCATGGAGGGGGCGTGGCGAGGCCCGAAAAGAGTCTTGGAGTTCGCGCAAGTTGAGTCTGACGGGACGGATAATGCCCTCTTACGGGACCCTCCCTGGGCCTGGGTTTGTGTAACGAACGACTCGGGACGAAGATTCGGTCTTGGAAGGCCCCGGGGTCCAGGGCCCGTTCTTAGACACCCGGCGGTGTGAGTTCTGTCAACACGGGGCCCACGAGGTCCCGACCCCTTCCCCAAGGGGTAGTTCTTCGTCCCAGATCCGTTGTTGGTTGCCGGGCGGCCCGAAAGCTGGCCCCATAGGATCCCGAAGTGAAGGAAGAACGCCAGGCCAGGACAAAAAAATGATACCGGAGAAAAACCCCAGTCAGGGTCTATAGGGTCTATTAGGTATATCGGTCTATAAGGTCAAGTAGGTCTATTAGGTCTAGTAGGTCGATCAAGTTTATTAGGTCTATTAGGTCAATGGGGCTGTGGGGCCATGGGACCATGGTACTATGCGGCTACGGGGCAATGGGGCTGTGGGGCGATGGGGCTATGGGGTTATTGGGCTATGGGGCTATGGGGCTATGGGGCTTCGGGGCTACGGGGCTAGGGGGCTAGGGGGCTATGGGGCTGTAGGGCTATCGGGCTATGGGACTGTAAGGCTATTGGGCTTTAGGGCAATAGGGCTATGGGGCTATAGGGCCATGTGGCAATGGGGCTGTAGGGCTATGAGGCCATAGGGCTATAGGGCTATAGGGCTATAGGACTATAGGACTACGCGGCTATTGGGCTATTGGGCTATAGGGCTATGGGGCTAAAGGAGGGCTATAGGAGGGCCATAGTAGGGCTCTAGGGCTATAGGGCTGCAGGGCTACAAGGTTATAAGGCTATAGGGCTATCGGGCTATAGGGCTACAGGGCTATCGGGCTATAAGGCTACTGGGCTACTGGGCTATTGGGCTATTGGGCTATAGGGCTATGGGGCTATAGGGCTATAGGGCTATCGGGCTATTGGCAATTGGTTATGGGGCTATAGGGCTATCGGGTTATAGGATTATAGGGCTACACGGCTATAAGGCCATTGGGCTATCGGGCTATATGGCTATAGGGCTGCAGGGCCTAGCGGGCTATTCGGCTATGGGGATATAGGGCTATAGGACTATAGGGCTAGTGGGCTATAGGCTATATGGCTATAGGGCACCGGGGCACCTGGGCACCCGGGCGGGCCACCGAAATCGGCGACCCCCAGGGCACCCGGGCACCTGGGCACCCGGGCGTGCCGCGGAAATCGGCGGCGCACCTCGCTTACCCACATGAATCCGCTTAGGACCCCTGCAGAGGCAACCTCTGGGGAAATATACACTCCTTCGGATGTCTGGGCTTCTGCAAGCGCCACGCGCCCCCCCCTCGATCCTCACTCTCGCTCTCCAGTCCTCGTTCCCCCGATCCTCACCTCTGACCCTCGATCACCCTCCAGACCACCGACGGAATGAGTTTTCGCAACGTGGTCCTATGGAGATCTCGACTTATGCCCGGGACCAGGTTTTTCACCCCGAGGCGTTTTTGACAGCCTTGGTGCCACAAGAACCTCCCGTCGAGCTTTTTGTTTTACGACGGGAGGGCGTCTGGGTCCTTACCTTCGGTCCTTCCCGTCGATTTTTCCCCTCGAATCCTCGCCCCTCGAATCCTCGCCCCTCGCCCCGGCGGAGGGTCAGCCGCATCGAGAGCCGCGTGGGCGATCTCGCGGCGCGGCGCGACCTCTTGCCATCCCGCTGGTCGCCCGAGCGCAAGGACGACGCGGCGGCTCTCTGCGTTTTGTCCTCCGTCTGGCTCGTCTCTGCCTCCTCCTCCCCCTCGTCATCCTCTTTCTCCTCCTCTTTCTCCTCCTCCTCCTGCTCCTCCTCCTCCTCCCTCCTCCTCCTCCTCCTCCTCCTCCTCCTCCTCCTCCTCCTCCTCCTCCTCCTCCTCCTCCTCCCCCCCTCGGAGCGCCCGAGAGCCCCCAGGACTCGCCGCCCCCGCGCCCCGAGCTGCCGCAGCGCCTCGCCGCGCAGCGCGCGCGCTACAGGCCGCCGCCTCCCCCCCCGGACCCCCCAACTCGCAGGAGGGGAAAAACACAAAAACACAATCAATCTTCGGTTCCCATGAAGATATCAGAAAATGTGGGAAGTGGGGGGGGGAGGAAACGAGAATCCAGAAAATATGAAAAAATATTGGGAATCCTAGGATTTGTCGGTATCTGTTTGTGTGTCCCTGGGCCCCCTCAATCTCGTCCGCGCGCATGCCAGCGACGACGCAGGCTGCGGGCACCAGGGGCCCAGAGCTCCCACGTACTGAACAAATCCCGTCGGAGGTTTTCTTCGCCGCTTTGGGCGTCCGGGGGCCCTCACTGGGGCACTGGGGCCTGGGACCGTCACCCGGCCCTTGGGACAGGCTGTTCGTCCTGGACCGGTACGGGACGGATCCGACCCCGGATCCCTGTGACACCCTCCTCGTCCGCGTACATTCGGGGGCCCTGGAACGGGGTGGTGACCACACCGTGTGGTGAGTCGGTGGGGATTCGGCGTCACCGCACGGTTTTGGGACTCGGGTCGCCCTCCGAGGACGTCTCGGGCGACTGGGGCATCCGAGGTCCCTAGACCGTGCGGTGACGGACCGTGCGGTGAGGTCTTGGGGGATTTCGAGGTCACCGCGCGGTCTGTCACCGCACCGTTTCGGGACTCCAAATGCATGCTTGGGGTCATGATTTGCTGCCTCGGGTTGGAACCGGCTGGGGGTCCGAGGTGGCCCAGCATTCGCTTCTGCCAGCCGAAAGGGTCTCAGTCAGTGGAGCCGCGCCGCACTGCGCATCGACTAAACAGCACGGGATTGAATTCAGCAGTTCTGATACATAAGCTCTCAGAAGACGTATGGCATGGCATGGATGGCATGGATGTCTGCGTGCCAGCTCCGGTAACCGGGGTGGTCCCCTAGAGGGCAGACCGTGCGTTGAGCAAGTCGGAAAATGAATGAGGCAACACGCACACACGGGAAAAATGCGGTTAATAAATCTTCTGGTGTGCAAGTCTTCAGTCAGAGACACCCTGCCGGCTAAGAAAGGCAGGCGGAGGAGGAGGAGGACCATCGCACGGCTTCGGAAAGGGGTTCGACTTCTCTCAGGGCGACTCGAGCGCCTGGGCTGCCTGGGCGGCAACCACATGTATCGGGATCGGAGGCTTGAAGACAATGGGGCTCGTCTCAGAGGCCCTTGGTTGTCTCCCCTCTGCAAGGCGCGCGTAGGCACCTTCTGAAAAGTTAGAAGTGAATCGCTTGAGACAACCCTTCTGGAGGCTCTTAACGGTACACTTTGAATAACTGCCGCACAAATGCCATGCAACAATGAAATTCTCATCTTCAATTCTGTCGAAAACTAAAGGCTTGTGCCCATTCGGCTGCTCTGTTAGCTTGGCCAGGCGAGCTGCATTACTCGGGCACGACTCCTTGGCTCTGGAAAGTTTGACCTTGTCTGACGTGCATCGCGAGTGGCAGAGACAGCAGAGCCAACGTGTTTTCTGCCACATCCACACATGCCCGACACGGGCGCGTGTGCGGGCAACACGGTGGGGACGGGGAGGGGGAGGAGCCGCCGCAGCTCCAGGGCCCGAGAAAGACCCCCCAGAGTTCGCTCCGCTTTGCCACACTTCCGCGATCGAGCGAGCACCTACATGCGGGTTGGTTGCCTTCACTGGGCCCTCGAGGCCTCTCCCCCCAACCCTCGGGGCAACCGAGGGCCACAGCGAAGGAGCCTTCGGCACAGACCGAAGGAAGCGTTTGATTATCTTGTCGAGCTGCTGCTGGGCGTCTCGCACTCCTTCCGAGGGCTGGGGGAGGCGCGAGGCAGCTAATTTGGCAATTCTGTCGGCAGCGTCGTTCCCCGAAGCGTGCCGCCACTCGTCAGAGTAGCGGTCCGGGGAATCTAAATCTTGATGGGCTTTCACTTTGGCAACTTCAAAGCCTCCTGCACAACTGGCTTCTCCTTGCCTGGCCATGGCGCAAAGCCCATCGTACATGTTTTTCCTACTAGCAGGCAGGCCCGAATTTTGGAAGCTTACCACTCCTTTGAAACCATAATGAATCTTAGTCACTCCTCTGAACTGGCTGGAGGCTAGATGCGTTAGAAACTCAGCCGCAGGACAGGTGGGCGGAAGGGCGCTGCCTACTGGCCCACAAAAGTAGGCCTCTACCTCCCCGTGGGCATCACATTTAACCGTAGCCCATCCTGGGGCATGGAACCACGGGTGGCCGTCCTTGGCCATGCTATCGCCGACGTAAACCTCGCCGACAAAGGCTTCCGAAGGCGAAAGGCCGTTTCGGGACAAAAACTGGGCCTCAGCCAGGCCAAGACCGATGGGCCTCGGGACTTTAAAAGGCGGAGGCTCAGGAAAACCAGCACACATAGCAAAGGCCTGGGGGTCTCGCAGGGCTTCAAGATCACCTTCAGCAAGGTACTCTTCCCGAGGATCTGCACAACTGGGGCAATCCAGGAGCCTGTGGAGTGTATGGTCTGTTGGGGCCCCACATATACAAGTAGTGTCCGTGTCGTAGCCCGCATCCTTGAGCCTACATTTGGTCCAAATCGATTGGGTCAGGTATGACACGAGGAGGCTGCGATCTTGTTTACTAAGTCGTTTATCGGCGAAAGCTGCTTTAGCGTGAGAGAAGTCGACTGCGGGCACTCCAATCTTTGCTGCCCCGGTCTCGGCCTGCTGCTCCTCCAACGACGCCTCGAGCATCCGACGAAGTGAGAGCAGGCGAGCTGGTCGTGAGTGGCGAGACCTCGCCTTCCCTGCTCACGAAGCCCAGGAGGAGGAGGAGGAGGAGGAGGAGGAGGAGGAGGAGGAGGAGGAGGAGAGGGAGGAGAGGGAGGATGGGCAGCCAGCAGCAGGCCGTGGGCACATCTACTCTCAGAAAACGTACGTCTGGGCAGTGCTTCTCCACTAGGCTCTACTGTAGACAGGGCCGAGCTCAGCGTGCACAGATGTGCCAGAGGCCGAACATGCTTGAGATGCGTGCTCGTGCACTACCCGTATCCATGTCAATCGGGGGCTACTTCGCGCTCGTCTTCCGTGCAAGACGGGCGGATTCAGGCTTCGGGCGCGAAAACTGCATCACGGGTTGTTGAGTCCGGCACGCCACCTTGCTTCCCGAAGAAGTCAAGTTGTTTCATGAGGATGTGACTGCTCAAGCGGTGTTGTCTTGCTAGCTGCCGCACGCTTTTGTTTGATACGTGGGAGATCATCGAATAAGGGATCTTCAGGATTTTGCGAAGACATTGGGCCTGAAACGCGTCAAGATTATCACTCTCTGCTTTCCGCAGGCACAGAGCCTCGATGCTGTACGTGAGCTTGGAGATGACGCATGCGTTGAAGCGTTGAATATTTCATCTCTGACTGATGCTCGCGTGGCTCCACACCAGGCTCAACTTATCCAGGGCTTCCCTGGCTTCACCCAGTCTGCGCGCCAGAGACGCGCCAGCGTTGCAGTCAGCGTTCAAGAGGCCTCCAAGATATATAGAACTGAACTTCCGTAGCCATTTTGGCTCAAGGCTCAATCCTGTTCCCTGGGGATTGATCCTTGGTCGCTGCCGACGGGGAGGCTCGAGGGTCCCTCCAGCAGCTGGAGCTTCACACTTGCACTGCCACTCTTTCCCGTCCTCTCCGTTCCCCCATGCCTGCTTCTGGCAGCCGCGCTCGTGGCAACCGCCGTGAGCCATCGAGTGATGGCAGCTCTTCTGAGGTTCGGTCCAAGAGTCGCTCGAACAGGGAGGTCTCCAGCTCGAGGGACACCAAGTTCGACCTCATCCTCTCTGGCCTCCAAGGGTTTAGTCAGCAAGTTGCGACAAGCGCTGCTGAAGTCACGAAGCTCAAGACCCAGATGGACTTGCAATTGATGCGATGCGATCAGCTCACGACTAACATGCAGACGATGGGCAATGACATCCACAGTCGCATTACTCACATGGAGGGGATTCATGCTGCATGTACGACCGACCTGCGGGACTCAATCGAGAAAATGAACGCCAGGGTCTGCGACTTAGAGAGTTCGCCGACCCCGACTGCTGCCTCTGATTCCTCCTCCGCTGCAGACTCGCACGTTCAGAAGAAGATGGCAGACATTGAGGAGAAATTATCATTTCTGTCTTCGGCAGGCTCTACGCGTTCGACTCGCGTGGTGAACTCTGTGCGCACGGAGCAGACGAATGACAACCACACGAAGCTGATCGTCCTGGGCTTCCCTCGTCGGATGCTTGCCTCTACACTCAAGACGATCGGTGAGGCGATCCGCACCAAGTATTCTCCTTCGGCTTCTCACGCTCGTTTTGTGATCAAAGCCTTTGACCTTACTCGTAAGATTTCGCTCCACTTCGAGACTGCGACGGAGGCAAGTGACTTTCTCCTGCGGTTCGAAGCGGTTGGCAAGTTTGAGTTTCCTGACCCTCTGGGTCACCAGCCTTTCTCGCTTCGCCTTCGTCGCGATGTAGATGCTCGCTTTCGCCAGCTCTTCCTCAGCATGGGCAGGGTGAGGCATGAGATGACGCAGTTTTTGCGTCCCAGGGGGTACGATGTCAACAGCAATGGCGTCGGCGGCAGCATCTACGTTCTTCGTGCCAAAGATGACCCCGTGGTTCTTGCTTCGCTCCGGCTTGGTTCGGATGATGCCACGGTCGAGCTGGATCTCGACGTGACAGCCCTGCAGGAGTTTGGCATTCACCAGCACGCGGAGGCATTTCGCTCTGCCGCCGCGGTGACGCTGCGCTCGCCCTTTCGCTGATGACCCATGCTGTCTGTCGCCAGCACTGCCACGTTCCAGTATTCCTCTTTCTTCCTCTGCTTCCCCTACAGTTGATGACATCGGTGATGATAGGTCTCCCCACTCCAATTGTCTTCCCTTCTCCCCTGTATGCCCACTGTCCCTCTGCAGCTGGAACACGCACGGCCTTTTTAGCAGCGTGCGCTGTGGCTCGTGGCGTGCCAGTGCAAGGTGCCAGTTATTCCTCCCCCTCTCCCGACGTTTTCAGATCGTCTGTGG